AAAGTGCTTGCATAATTTTCATCGTATTTCTTCTTTTCTCTAGGTATTCGCAATAATGACCCAGTGCTTAAAAACTTCAACATTATTTTACGGCAAGCAGTCTCAGAAACTAGATAATATTTTTCGCCTTTCGCATAACATTGCACCAAGTAAATCTTTTGCTGTAAAGTAAGCATTTTAAGCTGACAATACTACGGCTAATAAAGTATAAAAGCGAAGTGTCAATAAAGCTTGTCACTATCAACGCCTACTAGTACAAAAATTGGTATTAAAGACTACCTTTTACTTTTGAACAACTTTTCCTAGTAACTTATTTCTTTATCTTCTCAAATAAATGCACTTTACTCTTTTACCATTTAAAGTTTTTTCAATTTTGTGAACACTACGTATAAAATATGTTAAATGTTTCTATCCCAACCTTACTCTAAGAACTAGCAAAATTTTTTATCAAGATTAACTTTTTTCGATAAAATTAAAAATAAAAAAGTTTTTCCTATTCAACACCTTTTCCGTGGACATACTATATATTAATCTAAAAATCTTTTACTTTTACATTTTTTCAACTATTACCCATTACAGTAGAGCTTCGATAATCCGAACCGCAGTAATCCGAACGCGCAAAAAGCAAAAATTAAATTTCTTTTGTAAAAGTAATTTTTGTATCCAATACTTATGTTTTCAACTATTTAGCAGCAAGATTTGATAATCCGAACAAATAGATAATCCGAACCACCTTCGGTCCCAATTAGTTCGGATTAACGAGGTTCTACTGTATTTGTCTTAAGGAATAAATCCCCAAGATTTTTCGTATATGTTGAGAATCAGCCTGTACATTAAAAAGTTTATAATTTGACACATCATTCAACAAATTTGTTTTTGGCAATTGTTGGAACAACCTAATTAAATATGACCTACCTAAAATGATTTGTACACACAGACGAAGCAACGCGTAGAGAGCACAAACACAAATATTTATTGACTCTGCCTTGTAAATTTGCGCCGAAAATATTTAGCACAGTATATACAGGTGTCTCACATAACGTTGAAATTTTGATAGCAATGGTGAATCATCCGAAACATTCGATCTAAAATACTTTCAAGATGGTCGCCACTTCCAGCCTGCCGCAAGTAGACCACAACTTAGTTATTTTAAATTGAATGCTATAGTTTTTATTACATCTTTTAATTATATGCAAAAAATATGTTGACTTTGATAAAAGTTGGTACCTAACGTTTTTCGTTTTCGAGTTATTTTGATTTTAAGGTTTCCCACATCGGGACACCGATACAACACCCACAACATTTTTTATTACAGTTATGACCTGAACTCTTCTTGTCGTTTAAAGGAATGTAAATAATTCTAATAAGTCTTTTTGTTTTATATTCCCCGATAATTTCTTTTATTACAACTGCATTACTAATTTAGTGCAGTTATAATCATTACATACACAGTTAATTAATTAGAGTTTCTTAATAATTTCTTTTCTATTACTAAACATTATGAGTTAATTTTATTTTTATGAAGCTTTAAATAAGAATAATGATATAATCTTAAAATTTTCCTTATCTGTAATTAAATAAGTGGTTTCCTGAAGATGGCGTCAAGCCGAAACCGGTAGAAACCAAAAAATAACAATAAATACTATCATCGTTAAAGTACAACATTTATTTCTCCCCACTTTTATTAAGCACATGGTGATAAAAAAAAATCAAACAAATATAAACATTCTTAACAATTGTTTATATTATGTATATTTGACTCATATTATTGTTACTTTCAATAGCATTGTTTTCGTATTGTCAGTTTTAAAAAATCGCTGTTTTAGAAGATTTTATCAGAGTGGACACCTGAAACTTTGTAATAACAATTTTTTGACGTCATTAATATTTATCGGTTTGACATTAATCTTTTTACGAAATTTAAAAATCAATATCTTTTATTCATCAATACACTAATAATAGATCCACGTGCATTTAAAATATTTGAATTAATTTTTATCTAAATCTTTAAGGATTTAATATCAGAATTGTATAGATTGATCGGTTGAACTGAATTTGTTAAGATTACCTAAAATTACTTATTGAATCTATTTTAACTATTCGAACAACTTTTAATAACAGTTTTGCTTAATATAAAGTCGATTGACGTAATTTAATCCCTTTAATTTTTTACGATTGTAAGATTGTAAAATAAGTTAGTAGTGTGTTATAAATCAAGATTATTGTAAAAAAATCCATTCAATCGTCACAAAGCGTGTGATTCACTTGGAGGTGCGTGAACGTTAATAATACAAATGGTACTTTGCTGTTTTATAACTCAATCAATGACGTCAATTCAAAACCTGATTAAAATTACTTCTTGAAATTGTTTTTTATGAAATATTCAGGTGTAAAAATATGTTATTAGAATAATTATTTTATTTATAAGAAAGTATATAACAATAAATTTTTATTACTGACGTATATTTTAAAATGATATCTAATCTGTAGGTACGACCAAACACACATAAAAGCGAGATGTGCACATAGTATCCGGTTTATTTGAAAGTGATACAGGTTCAGCGTTAAACTTTAGAAGAAAGTTTTAAGTTTCAATTTTTTTAGTGATCGGTACGGTTAATAGATAACGTTTATTTAATTGATTTAAAATGTACGATCAAGATGATAGAATCGGCTTTTTAATAGTTTTTATTGTGCTTATTATTTTTGGATATGGAATTCATACATATTTGAAAGAGAAAAAGAAGATAGCGGATAACGACAATTCAGAATCATGTAAGTTTCTTTAAAACATTATTTTATATGATATAATTGATCATTAAGGAAACACTTATGTTTCATTTACAAATAGCACAAATTATACTTGCGTAATAATAATGTCACTAGAGCAGACCCTTTTTACACTCACTACGTGAGTTGTGTTTTCTTATCTTTGTTACTTAGATAAATACTGCATCTTGAGGATAATGCCGAAGGTTGTTGTTATTTCCATCATTGCTTCTTTCTTATTTGTTATACGATTATTAGTTCATCCATTGTATCGATAGTAAAACTCTAAACGATTACCACTTTTCCTCTCACGAAAAATGTAAAGAAAAACTGGTGTGAGGTACCTACCAATATGTACCAATTAAATATAATATTTTGTTATAAGTGAAAGAGGAAACGATCTGCTATATAAGTATAAGGTAAGAATTTAATTTAAATTTCATCAACTTTTTAAAAAGAGTTTTGTAGATCACTCAAAATCTATTAATATGCTAAAAAGAACCAATTATATGACGATAAACGAATCAAGTGGAATTATTATGCATTACATTTGCTTAATTGGAGTTTGTTAAGATGCAAAAGATTAATATCGCTTTTTCAAAACGAGTACTTCACATTATTTTATATCAATCTTATTTTATTGATTTAAAAGTAACCAATTTTTTCAAATTGGATCGAATTAAATTTCTTAAAACGATTTCGGTCGTTTTTCTGGCATAAATAAATTATGCCCTGTCATTGATTCAGATTATAACTTAACAGACAGATAAGATAATCTCAAATCTTCTTATTAGCCACTATTGTTTTGTTACAAGATAATTTCGAAGTTTCTTTTCCTTAATTTTACTCGGAAAAACACTTACGTTATTGTTAAATATTATTTAAATCTAGCACTTCATTTTAACATTGAAATATGCCGCTTAAAATATTGGCTACGATGCCTATGTTTAAGGTTGATAACGAAATGAATAACAACCACACAATAACAAGTGTGGTAGTGTGGTGACATCTATTTAAATACATGTGATCCATACAACTCTAATATACATACACAAAATATCTCCCTTTTCTTTGATCTTGGGTTGTAGATAACCTCTATCCATGGGAGAGAAAATCACGGTTAGCAAAGCATGGGACAAAGTAAGATTATTCAAAACTAGATAGAAAAGGTATGGTGGAGATTCATGCCCACCATTTAGAACTTTTGAGTTCTTCAAGCAAGCAAGTATAAGAGTTCCTTAAATACCTACTTACACCGTGATTTGCACAGGAAAACACATATAAAAAATTCCTGGTCTATTAACAGCCGCAGAAAGATCACCTTAATAAGTAACCTGAGTAAACTGTATAAAGTAAGCCGCCATTTAGTTTTAGTCAGAAATGGAACGATATCTTATGATTAATATTGCTCAATCTAGCTTAATGTTTAGATCTGCAGCGCAGACTAGCATACTGCAGAAGAGTTAACCCATTATAAACAAACCATTCTTCTTGTAATAATTTAGGCACTACAAGGAATAATGACGCTTCGTAGTGAAGAAATTAGCAATCTCTATAATTTAAGCATCCGACACTCTATGGTGGCGTTTCCTACGAACCCCATAAATAGCCACTTTTGCGAGTACTACATCGTTTCATTTGGAAAAGTTTACTTTAGCTCTCGAAAATGTTTTTATAGAATTGAACTGGTCTAAAAAAGGACTTGTCATAAACGGCAAATAACTAAATCATCTTCGTTACGCTGACGATGTAGTAATAAATTATGAATTCAGCCATAGAATTATACATTTTTGCTCGTTTTTCTGATATTTCACAACATGTTAGGTGTAAAACGTAATTCCGATATTACTTTTTTTCAAAGAAATTCTCGGGACATATACTTCAAAATAGTTATCGCGAAGTCACGAAGAAGTTGTAAATGGCCCGTTACTACCAAACCAATGCTATCTAATAGTTAAGCTATCTATAAGATACAATTTATCTCGTAGATAACAGGGTCGTACGTACTACCACCTCCATTTATCTCATAGTTAAGAAATCCTTGAGATAACCAAGAAATCTAGGGATTTTTTTGTCTATTATGTTAAATTGACAGCTCTATGTGGTCAAAAGACCTACTATTAGGTATTTTGATGATATTTTAACCTGTTCTAACCTTAAAATTTAAATTTGAAAATGGAGACTGACAAAAGGCGACGAACCACCAATTTTACAAAAGAAGAATGCGAACATCTTGTTGAATTTTCATTTGAAATAGTTTATTTCATACCAAATTAGAAAAATTATTTATCACTTCATTCCTCCGTGAAAATTCAATATTTCCTTCTAGTGGGAGTTGATTGTCCCCTTCGTCAATTATAATATCCTCCTCATTTGGAGGTAGGTTGTCTTTCATATCAATACACAAGTTGTGTATGGCTGCCGTTGCCACAATAATAGGCTGTATCCTGTAAATTATAAAAATCACGTTATAATTACATACTGTAGAGATAAAATAAATTCTATACCTCTCAAGTGATATTCTTAACTCGAGTCTTAAAGCTTGGAATCGCCTTTTCCATGTCCCATATTGTCGTTCAACAACGTTACGTGTTCTTATTTGAGCTTCATTATACAGCCTTTCAGCGTCGCGCCTTGGTTGTTCGAGTGGTACCAATAAATAATTCCTACAGCAATTGAAAAATGTACAAATCATAATAATATTTTAAATTTTATTACTTGTTTTGGTATCCACCATCTCCCAATAGTAATCCATTTCCAAAATCACCAAAAATTTGTTCTTCATCGCCAATGTTGAAGAAATTATCCACGATGATTTTATCATATATTATTAATAGTTTTTTATTTAAGTTTATATTACTTTTCTTATTTTAACTAAGATAGTAAAACGCTCGAATTTTATACGTCAGCATAAATTCTATTTGAGGTTAGGTATCCGCATTTATCCCTTAGATAGCAACTTATCCGACACCCAATCCACGGGTTACAGATATTTCAAAAGTTATCCCTTGGATAGCGGTATCTATAAGATAAATATAGTGGTAGTAACCAATTTTTAAGCTATCCGATAGATAACGCTATCAGAGACTTTAACTATGAGTGGTAGTAGTGGGCCTAATTATTCTCTAATTACACTTTACTACCTCTTACAATATATTATCACATAAGGTTAATCCCTAGTTAAGTATGAGATTAAAATTATAGACAGCATTGAAGAAAATCGAAACAAGGGGGCAATCGAACCTTACATTACAGAAACAACGCTCCTAATAATGCATCATGACAACACTTTGCTCGACAAGAAGAGGTTATTGAGATTAAGGTTAATGGTGTATCAGATATTCACACTGAAGCTGAATTTAAGCGAAGTTTTGAGAAATATTGACAGAACAGAACCATCAGTTCCATCGATTAAGGCCCGTTACTACCAAACCGTTGGCATCTATTAGATAAGCTAGCTATAAGATACCGCTAAACTAATAGTTTACGGAGTCGGCGGTCCTACCACCTCAAGTTATCTCACAGGTAGGAAATCTTTAAGATATCTATAGAATCTAGTGATTTTATTTCGGGTGAATTTTTAAGTTGGCAACCATACAGTCAAAAGACCTAATATTTTGACATTTCTAGTTTATTTTAACTCATTTCCGCTCATTCTAACGGTTCTAACGTCAAACGTCGTCATAAATACGTGTTTCAGCGATTATTATTTTATTCAAAATGGAAAATGACAATAAAAAGAAACGTAACGCAAATTATTCCAAACAAGAAATGGAACTACTAATTGATTTAATTATAGAAAAAAAAAACATAGTAGAAAATAAAAAAAGTGACGCCGTTCACTGGCAGGAAAAGCATCAAGTACGTACATCATTTTATTTAGTAATATGGAATAATGCTTCTATATCCGCTGTATTGCGTTATATAAAAAAAATGTTTTGTGGTTATTTTAGACATGGAGTGAAATAGCTCGGGCTATGACAGCCACTACAGGTATTGACCGGGATGTAAAAAGTGTCAAAGGAAAATATGATCAGATTAAAAAAGAAGTGAGGAAAAAGAATTCTAAGATACGCATGAATGCATTGAAGACCGGTGGGGGTCCTGTAGAAGATGTCTCCTTAACCCCTATTGAGGAAAAAGTGAAAGGTAAATTTACATTCGAATGATGTTAAAGTAGGTAAAAATGTTTATGCTTTAGGCCTCATACTATTATCGGTTGTTGGAATGCCATCAACATACGATTCAGATGTAATCACACATTCTGATTCCTTATTAACTGGGTTGGCGGTTACTGATGTAGAAGCAACAACTTCTACATCAGGCCTCTCACCTACTAGGAACGTTGTATTGGCTTCTACATCAGTAGATGCCAGAACACGTTAGTCGGAAGCAGAATGTGTGATTGAATGGAGCGCAACTGATGTCATTCCAATCGCTGGTGTAGAAGAGACAGCGGATACGCCACCACCACATGTAGAAAATAAAGAAAATTGGTCCTCTTGGACGCCTCAAAATTTAAAAAAGAGGAAAGCAAAAGTTTTGAATTCAGCTTCTAAACCAAGTAATTTATTCAATTATGTGTTAAATCATGTTAATACTTTATTATTATTAATAGAAACAGCCAATCAAAAAGTTCACAGTGAATTCAACAAGCTTACTGAAAAACGTGTGGAATTAACTGAATTGCTAATAAAACAAGCTAAAGAAGAACATGCCAAAAAAATGGAGCTCTTGGATCTTCAAATATTATTAAAAAAGAAAGAGGCTGGCTTATTATAAAGATTTTTTATTGTTTATTAGATAATATTCTTTATTTTTAAAAAATAATAATAAATATTCGTTTCTTAAAACAAATTATTTTATTGTAAATTTGCAAAATAATCAATAATTTCGTTCCTACGTGTTCTGTCTTCGTTGCCCCGTTCTGCCGGAAGATGATTATCCCATTCTTCAATCTCCTCCTCATTGGGTGGTAGATCGTCTTTCATATTAATACACATGTTGTGTATTACCGCTGTAGCGACAATTAGAGGCTGCACTCTATAAATAATGAGAGTAATATACATGACTGATTATTTCAGTATAAGGAAATGGAATACCTTTCAATTGAAATTCTTAGTTCCAACCGCAGCACTTGGAACCTTCTTTTCCATGTGCCATATTGGCGTTCAACAACATTTCTTGTTCTAATTTGAGACTCATTGTAGAGTCTTTCCGCTTCCCGCTGTGGTTGGTCTATCGGTACCAACAAATAATTCCTACAGCAATATAAATAAACAAAAACATGTATTACAACATTTTATATTTTATTACTTGTTTTGGTATCCACCATCTCCTAATAAAAGTCCGTTTCGAAACTGGCCAATTTCTAAACGGTGTTTAAGGCAACTATTATTAAAAATTGTTTGATCATGCGTTGATCCTGGCCACCTGGCTACAATATCTAAAATACGCATATTGGCATCCGACACAGTTTGCACATTAATGGAAAAATAACCTTTTCGGTTTCTAAAATTTTCTGCAAATTCTCCGCCTACAATATTAATCATGTTGACGTTATTTACTTACAATAAAAATCAAAAGTTAATATTGACATACCTGGGGATTGAATACGGACATGGGTACAATCAATTGCACCAATCACACACGGAAATCGTGCAATATCATAAAATTCCCTTTGGGCAGTAATTATTTCTTCACCCTCCGGCATTTTACAATACCTTGGCCTTAAATTGGCAATGGCACAGCTGACGTCGTGCACTACCGTAGATGCCAATTGTACACTCACTCCAGCAAAATCTGCAATGGCCAACAACATGTTGCCTGTTGCATAAAACCTTAACGTCAGCAACAATCGATTTGCAGGAGGTACAGCGTTATTGCTAAAATATTGATGTAAATGTTGGCACATTAAATTATAACAATTTTATTAAATTACTTACGTCATGGATGGCGGTTTAATTACTTCCTCTATTTCGTGGAGAAGAAAATAAAAAGTCTCCTTGGAAAGACGGAATCTTTTCACAAATTCCCCATCTGAATGTCTATTGAGATGGTTTAATCGTCTTCGTATTATTCGTTCGCTTCTTATAGGAAATAACTCGTTTATTTCCTCGAAAATCATTTCTTCATCTCCAACATCCATAAAATTAGCCATTTTTTAATATCACTGAACACGTGTACCGTTACAACACTCCGCGTATTCTGTTTGTGAGGTTAGGTTTCCTCGTTTATCTATTAGATACCAACTTAACCCGGACCGAATCCACTGGTTATGGTTAAAGCAAAAGTTATCTCTGAGCTAAGGTTAACTATAAGATAAATACAGTGATAGTAACCGATTTTTACGTTATCTTTTAGATAACGCTAACTATAACTTTAACTATGAGTGGTAGTAACGGGCCTAAGACTCAAACTACATGACCTTGTCGTCGGGTTACCTGCTGAAAGGAGAAGTGTAACCCCGATACGTTCATTGCAACGATTCCCTTAAAGTTAAAAATATAATTGTAGCCAACCATGAGTTACTCTAAGATGCAAACATAACATCATTATTAATACCAACCTTGAGGAATTAATTGAAACTCCACACTGAGGGAAATTATTCTTGACTTTCAAGTAAAATTTATTCTTGAATGTATTTCTTAGAAACAAGTATAAGATACTCTTAAAACAAAAATATTTTTTTGTTTTAAGAATAGAAATATTATCGAATGAAGTATCTCATATTCTTAGCATTGAAGAATATCAATTCTTTGTATCAAAAAATTCATTCCTACGTCAATAATTTATAATACTCAAATGAAGAATTATACAAGATTGTTGTTACATGAATTCTCAGTACGAAAATGGGATTGTTGACGAAACAGTAAGATACTCTTTTTCAAGATGATTGATTTACTTTCACTAAAAATGTTTTCTTGAGAATCAAGAATATTTGTATACTTGCTTTGAGAATATGTGGTTTTTCTTCACTTAACAAAATGATCTTCTTGTGGATATACAAGAATATGATAAGCTTGTGCCAAGAGTAATAATCATCGTTCAAGAATATATTTCCCTCAGTGCAACTACCGCGCGTGTTTCGAATTGTTATGAATTGTATTGATAGTGTATGCACAAACATCTTTATCTTCCAAGGAGGTTTTTGCTATCAATTCAAATCTGTCCCTCAGGAGGCAGAACCTTAAAAAAAGTCCTTAAGTGGCAGTGATGTTGTTAAGTAGTATTGGCAGATCTGATGAAGCCGTTGCTGTATCTGACTTTGTGCAGATCGGAGCATAAATTTCTGGTATTCTGTCTGAATCAATAAATAGCTGACACGGCCTCTTCCGTTATGTGCAAATATAATGGAGATACGCCAAGCAAGATCTTTGTCGTTAACGTTCAATAACTCTTTGTGTGTGTGAAAGTTTACTTATAGCTTAGATCTCTTGGAGTCACCTATTTCAGGCTAGAGCGCCCTATGTGATCAGTGTTGTTAAATACGCGGGTATTTATTTTCAAGGGTAAATTTCCTGGATATATATCAGGGGGTATTTACCCAAGAAAGGTATTTATAAAGTTTAATTTAAATTGAGTTGATGGCAGTTTTGCAAGCACTTCAAGAATGTAGAGTCGATTATCGATATACCAAACTTATTTATAACATTTCCAAGAATGCTACAATGACGGTAAAATTGCATGAAAGTACTGAAGAGAGTAGAAGTAGTAAAGTACTGATGTGAGTAAAACAAGGCGAGACACTGTTGAACCCAAATTGTTCTTCACAATTTGGGTTCAACTTAAAGGAGGTGTGTGCAAAAGTCGGGCTAAATATCAACGAGGAAAAATCAAAATTTATGATAATCAACATTGGGGATAATGAGATTGAGAAGGTTGAGAGGGTATATCTTGGCTATGAGGTTCATGTATCGAGGGATAATCAAAAAAGCGAACTAAACAGAAGGATCACAACTCGTATGGGCAGCCTGCGAAAAACGTAGTGACATCTTCAAGAGAAAAGGCCAAGAAAGGCTTTCAATCAATCCGTGTTTCCGGTTATGACATAAGGCTCCGAAACTTTAACATTAACGGTGGCTACCGTCAGGAGGGTCCATGTAACGCAAAGATAGATGGGGAGGTCGATCCAGGGTCTAACTCTGAGGGACTACATACGAAATGAAGAGCTATGAACAAGAACTGGCGTAAATGATGTGATCAATATTGTGGCAAAGCTTAAGTGAAACTGGGCGGGTCATGTCGCGCGAATGAAGAATAAGCAGTGGATAAAACGGTTGCTTGAGTGGAGACCGCGAGCGAACAGACGAAGTAGACGTCAAAAGAATGACTAACAATTGGATTCAGACAGCACAGAATAGAATCGAATGGAACAGAATAGGGGAGGTCTATGTCCAACACTGGACGCAGAGGGCTGCTTGATGATAATAATCATAATAACTTGATCTAATCTATATTACTACAGATTCGTCTAATGATAAGACGTCTTTGATTGTTAACAATTCCTCGTCTTCAACCTCCTCATCATCTTCCTCTTCATTTTTTTTGGAATCTGATATATTTTTACTGGTATCACTTTTATACTGCATTAGCACTGTTTGGGTACTTACCATGGGCCGGTGTAAATACCCGGATAAATACCCATTTCAGAAATACCTACCCGCTGGGTATTTACCCAGCGTCCATCTCTGTATGTGATAATTAGTTTAGTCACATAAAGCTAGGATAGTCTTTCAGCATTCAAGTTTCAATTGCTATCACAGACTTCCGTTTGACCAAACTTTTAATTAAGGAAATTGATAGTATGAGCCATTTCAAAGTCTTACTCATTTATTTATTTTGTAGATTCTTAAATATCTATTTATAAAATAATCATTTTTTTAACACAATTTTCCTAGTACTTTGGTAAGATAACGTTTCTTAGAATTCGGATGAATATTAATGAATCATACAAAACAAAAATTATCAAACGATGATAAGACAAAATTAATATTAATTTTGTTTAATTGGTGCATGTTAAGATGTAAATAATCTTTATCATTGTTTATTATCTGAGTGTTTTAGTCGCATTCTTAACAGTAACCTTTTTCAAATAATCTTGATTTTTAAAACAAATTAACCTTTGATCAACTACTTGAATTAAGCGTTTATATATTAATTATTTTTGAGTACTTCCTAAAACTGTTATGTAATAGTTTTTATTTAACAAAAAATTAATCATTATACTAATATTATTGTTTCCGAATGTTACCACGCATTACCTATCAAAACAGAAACATTACAAAATGTTTTTGTTTAAACATTGCTTGGTGTCCAAATAAGTTAATTACTTGCGTTATGCAATAAAATAGATTAAATATAACTAATATTAGCTCACGTTCACTAAGCTTTCTCAATCGTATACTTACTAAAACTACTAAAATATTTAATCAATGGTTTAATTTTAAATTAATCGTTTTATTTATGAAGTGTTTACTAAAAACAATAAGTGCCTAGCGTACTTTTTTTATCGTTTAACAAAATTATTTCTAATCATAATCTGTATATTAGAATTGATTTATAAAAAAAACTAAAGTGCGTCAGTTCGTTAACACTATGTTAATAAGTGGAATATACCCAATATACATGAGTAACTTCTCCTTTCATTGACGTAATTTTGACGTTTACCTACGTAATCGGTATAAAATAACATAAACTTGGTTGGGTTTATGAACAGTTCTAACGACCTAATAGACATCGATATTGATAATATCAAATCATTAAATCAAAAGATTGCCGTTTAAGTATGATTTAATCTCTAAAATTGTTATTATCTTGAATATCAAATATATATTTGATATTGATCGTTGTTTACGTTAATAATGTTCTTTCAAAGTACACAAATTTGAGTAACAATGCGATAAAATAAGGTTTAATTTACATCTTGCAATTACCTATTTATTTGTATAGTATGTGCTAGTTGCAAAGTATATAACAATAATATACAAAAAGAGAGTCTACAACAGATAGTGAATCACAAAAGATGTTTTTTAGTATCAAATTTCTGTTCAGCCAACTCAAGGGTCTTTGCCATTTTCATTTGGGAGCTCAATATTATTTATCTGAATTTTCGTGCATTTCATTGACATATTTACAGTAGTTTCTGTCTCTCTCTGTTTTATTTTGATTATCTTTATACTTTTTATAGCCTCTTTCTAAAAGCCTCCGCATTTCAAGTTACAGAATCCGAGGTTTTGAAGCTGCAGCCGATTTCTTCACTTTTCTATTTGGAATAGAAATTATTATTTAATTTCCTTTCTAATCTAGGTTTCTCTATTTTAGGGATTATTTGGGACGTGTAGTGTGATACTATTATGTAATGGTTATGTTTTTCTTGTAAGAATTTTAGGGTAGGTACATAACTTACTCAATACATAAAGTCCACAGTGTGGTGTTCCTACAAGAATCGTCGACAAGTTATAAACTGGTCAAATTAAGCATGCATTTTGTGATGTAATCAAGAACAAATCATTAATCAATCGCTCACTTTCTCAATCGATAAATTCTCAGCCTCTAGCATCCCATCTGCCGATAAGATCCCATCCTTCAACAACCTTTAGACTCTAAAGTTAGCTTTAATTTAAATCTCTTTAGATCTCTTAATTAAAGCTCTAAACTTTAGAGCATAAGCACACAAGTGTCTCGAACGTGCCACTCGTATACTTAACATAAAGTGGATGGACAGCTTATCTTGATTGTCAAGTTGACAGTCCATTCGATCACGCTCGTGGCAGGTTATGACAATATTTTCGCACTGTAGCCAAGTCGTAGGGTCGAGCACCGCAGGATCGTAGGTGTTTATCCCTACATCGTGCCACATAACATGTAGACTCTAGGTCTGTGTATACAGGTTTAAGTTTGGTATATCATGCTGATTATTTGTGGAAAACTGTTATACTTGGAGTCAGTTGCATGGGGTGTACCTGTGTGCACTACCTGATGCACAGCAACTCCAAAGGTGATGAAGATGATACTCCACCATGTAAATGGCTCTTTTCTTGTACTTTTATAACGTGGTAATGAATTCTTCTTGAACTTCTAATTTGGGAGAGTCTTTTAAAGTGAAGCAAAAGGCTTATTAAAAATGATAATTATAATTAAAATCCATTCTACCAGTTGTTAATTATGAATAGGTAAATAATTTAAATTTTCTTAATCTGTACTTTTAAACTGGTTTTATTTAATTTTAGTCTTACTAGTTTCGGGCCATGGCCATCTTCAGAGACTATTCCACAAGAGATCACAAAAAAGTCTAAAATATTAAGTTTACAAAAGTTACAGTTCCGCAATTATTAAAATTTACAGGTTGGTTAAAATTTAAGAACGTTCTTAAATTTAAACTTAATATTTAACGATATGATTTTTTTGTGATCTCTTGTGGAATAGTCTCTGAAGATGGCCATGGGCTGAAACGAGTCAGACTAAAATTAAATAAAACCAGTTTAAAA